CACTGTGTTTAACTGCTTCCTCTGTTTCCTTGCAAAGTCCACCCCTTCAGTAGCAATGCTGCAGCATTGGTGGCTGCTTTTGTGATGGAGATGCGAAACACTTGGCTGGGTGGTGAATGCACAGTCCGTGGAACGAAGGTTTAAGTTCTAGCAGCTAAGCCTTTGCAATAGGACCTGTACATGAGCTGACTAGTGCGGCATAGTGGAAGACAAGAAGAAGAAGCTTGCAACAAAATGATGCTTTTCGATCCTTACATCTTGTAAAGTGAGGGGTAAGGTTGGCCAGGAGGTGCCATTTCAGACCTCCCGCCCCAGCCACCTAATCTCTTTCACCATCAGGAAAGCTTGAATTGTGATTTTTGACTGTGACCCATTAACATTGCTAGGGGGAGTTTTTGGCGAACGCAAGAAATTCAGGCTGCAGAGGCTGTTGGAATTTCTGTGCAACAGATCATCATAAGACTTGCAGGGGGCTTGGTACCCCTGTACGCTGCAGGAATTCTGGAGATAACCAAGAGTATGTACCACTCTGGCAAGACAGTGCGCAGGCAGGTAGATCTCAGCATACCAAATGGAACTGGTAGACAGCCACCTTGGATACAGAATTAACCTGCACCTCCATGGACAGCGGTGAGTCCGAAATGACTCCCAGGCTGCACACCTGGTCCTTCAGGGGCACAGTTACTCCATCAGACCAGGGAGTTCCCCATACCTGCCAGCCTCCTGCCCCACCAAAACAGTACTTCTTTCTTGTCAAGATTCAGCCTCATCCATTCTCCAACTGCCTCCAGATAGTAATAGTAATACCTTGAGCTTGGCAAATCAACAACTAGCACAGATCTCTGAGCAGAGGTGTTATATGGTCTGTGGCCAAGCCTCCGTACAGGTCTTCGTCAGCTCAAACTTCAGAGCTCTCTCTAAAGTTAGTACAGTACTGATACCTTACTCCGGGACTGCTCTCCATTGTGCACACAGGTCCATCTTCACTGTGCTGGAGGGGCTGCTGTGTAGTTGGTACATAGAAGCACATGTGGGACTGCTCAGAGGTGGCTGAATTTTGAATAAGTTGTTAGCTGGGATTTTTTTATGACGGAACTAATCATTACTCCATCTTTGGAACCTGTATATGAAAACAAAATCTTGTTGTCATTTTTGTGTATTGTATACAGCCTTGTAGCATTTTTATGAAACGTGCAGCCTATAAATGCTTAAATATTATTGTATAAGCGATTCAATACAAAATACACGCTTCCCCCTCCCCCCAAAAAAAATCCCCACTCAATCTGGAGGGCCAGTAATAGTGAGTTAATGGACGGGTGGGAAAGTAAAGAATATGATCTCTCAGTTGTAAACTCTTTCAAGAACATGCAAGTCAAACCAGCATTGCCTACACTGATTGGCAGTGGCTCTCTAGTATTTTTGTGCAGGGTGTCTTCTGCGTATAAAGCAGATACTCTTCCCACATTGAGCTGCAGCCTTTTCCCTTTTTGCGGGTACCTTCACAACCCCCTTGCTCTGTCTCCCCCCAGGTACAACGGCCAGCCCTCCGCTAACTGACTCCCCGGAGTTCCACCCGCCAGGATTTGGACTCTGCCAGCTTCAATCGGGGGAATCATCCTGGTACTCAGCCTCCAAGCCGTTGTCTTTTTCGTGGTGAAATTCCTCAAGGCAAAGGACAGCACCTATCAGACACTGTAAGTTCCCTAGAAGCAGCTGGGAGCAGGGGGGTTTTTTGGTGGTGGTGGGGGAAATGTGCTGTCCTCTAAGAAGCAGAGCGGGAGATGGTCTGTCCGTAAGAACATTCTGATCTTCATTTTGGGGTAGTTTCCAAAGCAATTGCTTTGTTTAATCTGTGGCATCTTCAAAGACTGACAGCTTTATTATGGCATGAGCTTGGTGCACAAAAGCGCCTGCCATAATATGTTTGATGGTCTTTAAGATGCCTCAGGGCCTTTTGTTGTTTTTCATTTGGTGCCCAGGCTATAATAGTTTAGACCAGGGTCACATCAACACCTTACATTTAAAGTGCTCTTTTGTCATGGCTCCCCCCAAAGAATCCTGGGAAGTGTAGTTTATTAAGGGTGCTGAGAGTTGCTAGGAACTAACAGAACTCAATTTTTGAGTGGTTTTACTCTCAACCGCTCTTGTTAGGGAACTTAGGAAATTAGAGCTCCTACCTCTAAGCACCTTTAACAAATGACTGTTCCCATGATGCTTTGAGACATGGAGGAGCCATGACTGTAAAAGTGGTAGACTGGTGTTTTAAATTATGGTGTGGATGTGGCCCAGGGCAGTTAAGAAACTATATTCATTAAAAAAAATAAGACAATGGGGTAGTGTTAGTGGGAAAGTTACTGGAACTGACTACTCACAGATGAAGACCGAGAGCATCCAGTGGGATGCAAAGCCTGCCTTCATGATGGTCGGCCATCTTGTATCACACAATAACTTACCGTGTGTTTTCAAAATGGCTGTTCAGGCTGTGAGTTTCAGCTCTCCTGCTGTCTTCATTTCTCCACCCCACCCCCAGTTTGTCTTCTGTGCGTTTTAGGGGATAAAGCACGGCAGATCAGCTCTTATATCCCTCTAAACACAGAAATAGAGGGATCTTACGCTTGACAACCTTCCTCCCCTCTTCCCCACCTTCGCATTATTCCTGTGTACCTTGCAACCAGTTTTTCCCTTCGTTGCTGCTGTGCAATTCTCACATACATGCTACTGACTGTGTTCAAGGACTGGCAGTTTGACATGCCACTGAGCTCAGTACTCTTTTGTGCCGAGGAAGGGGCTGGTCCAGCCTACTCACACCACATAACTTTTAGTGAAGGCTCATTTATTTCCTCAACACAGATATTTGCAGACTTCTCATATCCAACCCCATGACTGGCTGTCTGCAGTTCTGGGTTTCTCTGTCGTCTTCCTCCTTTGTTCTGCTTTCTCTCCCTCTATCCCCTGGCTGCAAAACTGTGACTCACTTTAAACGAGGACTCTGGATCTTTTAAGAAGGGCAGCAAAGCAAAGCTTTGAAATTTTAATTATTATTTAAAAATCTTTCTCACATTCATTATGGCTGTGTTGTGATTACAGCTCTCTTTAGATGTCCCAAAGTGGCAGCAGGTAGAGGCGTTCACATGCTACATTCAGTGTCAGCATACCTGTGAACACAGATAGTTCAGCTGCACACTTGTACAGTTATTCACATGTAACATTCAACGAGTGTACAGTCTATGTATGCAGTAGCTGAGCTGTTTTACACAAACACATGTGCCTGTGTAGAAACAGCTTGTACTTGTGTTTAGTGTAATGTGTGAACATGCCTTAAAACACTGATGTGTGTGTGACATCAGTGGCTACTTTCACACACCTAGGGTCCCTGTTTTTATTATCTTTCTCATTCCCCTGGGTTGCTATTTTCATTGTCCTCCAATTTATGGAAGCCAACTGTCTGCAGCAGGGAACGGTTTCTCTGTGAATATAAGAATAGCTGTGCAGGATTACACCAGTGGCCCATCTAGTCCAGCATCCTGTCCTCACTGTGGCCAACCAGATGCCTTAGGGAAGTCTGCAAACAGGGCCTGAGCTCAACAGAGCCCTCCCCACTTGCGGTTACCAGCCGCTGGCAATCGGAGGCATACTGCCTCCATCAGTGGAGGTACAACACTTTTAGAAAAGCGTGCTTGAGCTGGGCTCCTTTGGAGGAAGGGCAGGCTTCAAAATTGGTATAAAAACCAATTACAAAAAAAGCAAAAGACACGGAGAAAATTAAATTACCCTATACAATAAAAATAAAGGAAATAAATATAGTAATAGCATGGCCCTCCAATCTAGAACTCTCCTAATCCACATCAAGGCCTCACACCAGAATGGGGCCTTGTGCCATTTTCCTCGCGACACCTTCCCACAAGCTGATATTTCCCTGTGAAGTTGGTGCTGTTTACTGTAAGCAGCACTTTCAGAGGGCAAATAGCTGGAGGGGGGAGAGTGAAAGTGTTGTCTGTGGCGAACCAACCCCAGACTGAGAGTACATCTTTGGGACTGATGTTTTATCCATATAACGAGGGGCCAGTTTGAGCATACTTTGCTAAATTGCAAAAGCTATAACTTGTGGTTTGCCCTACTCAAAGTAGGTTATACTTTTGTCGGCAGGTGGTGAACAAAATCCTAGCCAAATAGCTCTCCATCCCTGCTGTGTGTAACCTTTGGTCAGTGTTAAAGGAAATTTCAAATGTTCTGTGAGGGTCTCTCCTCGCATGCACCCAACAATATTAAGGGTTTCTCATCTGTATCTTCTGCTGCCATCTCTGTCTCCGACAGACCCTTTCAGAGAATCACCAGCTGGGTTCTCCTCCTCTCAATCTGTCCTTGATTCTCTTTCTTTCTTTCCTCCCACCCACCTCTCACAGGAGAGTGTGGGATCAAAAGATGTCTTTAAGCCTGCTTTACACAATGATGCTTTCTCCTACACAGGTACTCCACTGACATAGTCATGTTTGGATTATGGCATGAGCATCATCTTTTGCTTCAGTTGTGTGTGCTAGGAAGCCAGTTGGGCAGGGCCTGTTATGGAGTGAAGTGACTGCCTCAGGTGGCAAGTGCTTGGGGGCTGGCAGTGGGTGATGACGGGTTGAGAGGCCAGAGCTGTGTCTGCAACACAGCCTGGCCTGCACACCCAGCTAGCCTGTTGTCCTGTGGTACGCTGGACAATTCACCAGTGTTGACTTCATTTGAAAGTCCAGTTGGCTTCTGAACATGGAATGAGGGTGGTGGTACCATTTTGCTCTTTGCCTCAGAGGGCAGCAGTGACTGCACACACACACACTATACTCTTAAAGCACATGACTCTCCCCCCCCCAAATAATCCTGCAAACTGTAGTTTGTTAGGGGTGCTGGGAAGTGCAGCTCAGTGAGGGGTAAACTACAGTTCCCAGGATTCTTTGGGGCAAGCAGTGTGCTTTAAATGTATGGTGCGTACACAGTCAATGTCTTCAGCCTTGAAGTTGGATATATGTAAAGAAAAATACCTCTGTGTAGGAAAGGGTGCTCAAACTTCCCTTAGCAAATTTGGCTGGGTCTTAGTTGAATCTTTTTGCCCCAGTGTTGGATCTCTTCTCAGTCAAGGCTCAGTTTAAACAGTGGGCCAGCTAGGAACACATTATTGGGGGCCATGGAGGAAGAATTTGAGGCAAGATAAGACAGTTGTTGGGGCGCGGGTGGCGCTGTGGGTAAAAGCCTCAGCGCCTAGGGCTTGCCGATTGAAAGGTCGGCGGTTCAAATCCCCGTGGCGGGGTGCGCTCCTGTTGTTCGGTCCCAGCGCCTGCCAACCTAGCAGTTCGAAAGCACCCCCGGGTGCAAGTAGATAAATAGGGACCGCTTACTAGCGGGAAGGTAAACGGCGTTTCCGTGTGCGGCTCTGGCTCGCCAGAGCAGCGATGTCACGCTGGCCACGTGACCCGGAAGTGTCTCCGGACAGCGCTGGCCCCCGGCCTCTTGAGTGAGATGGGCGCACAACCCTAGAGTCTGTCAAGACTGGCCCGTACGGGCAGGGGTACCTTTACCTTTACCTTAAGACAGTTGTATCCCTTTGCCCAAAGCCTTGGACCGTATTTGCAGCTTTTTAAGTAATAAAAAAAGCTGTGCGAGCCAAAGCCTGCCAATGTTCCTTTCCAGCTTTTAAAACATCCTTGGGCAGCTGGCTCCCTTCCAAAGCCAGTTTGGCAAAATCACTTCAGGAGCCTTGCTATTGAAGGCTTAACTTCCTTGATGATTGCAGCCATGCGTGATCCCCAAATTTTGACGGTGGGTGCGTTTGCTCATGCTGATTCCTGCCCTAAATTGTAATTGTTCAGGCACCTTGAGAGAGGGGTTTGTTTGGCATTCCAGCACTGGGGAAAGCTGCCGCTATTGGGGGTGGCTGGGATGTCAGCCAGACAGTGATTGCTGCTGTTTTTTGTTTGCAGCATCCCTCTCACTCTCTTATTTCTGTTTGTGTAACAAATTGCTTAGCCCTTGCTTGATTCTATTCCCAATAGAACATTGGACTCATTCAGGCTATCTTTTGCCCCATACTTTCCAGGCACAGGCCTGCACTTTAAAGCTTTGTGCCCGAGTGGGGGTTTTTTCCCCTGTTGCTTTTCCCAGGAAAACCCACGTTTTACTGCTGAATCAGAGCAAATGGCAATTTGCAGAAAACTGAGCTAGTGTTGAAATGCAGGTTTTCGCAGGGAAAGCACTGGGACAAACAAACAAGCAAACAAATGTTCAAACATGGGGCTGTAAAGCCCAGATCCGTGCCTAGTAACACAGCACAAAAGGTAGTTTGGATGAACCCATTGCTCCTGTCATTTTTCAGAACTCTCTGAAAGGCAGGTGCATCTCACCTCCCGACAAAAAAACCAAATAGTGGTGCATTTATGAGGAGGACTGGCCTTGCTGAAAATTCAGAGTTCTTTAAAGGGAACAGAAGCTCTGCCCTTCTGGGGGTAGCCCCCATCTTAATCGGGAGCATAAAGTACAAATCTCTTAACTCCTTATTCTCTCTTAACTTGGTCCATGCTGCTTCTCTGTTCTTAACTGTACCCCTGTCCTTGGCTCCAAACTAAAGCTTATAATTTTGCCATAGCTCTATTATGTCCATTCCTCTCCAGTCCCTGTTAACCAGAGCACTAATACTAGCCAAGGGGAACCTTCTATTTAT